ATGGGCATACTCAGGATGCTGACGATGCTGATGGTGCTGGTGCTGGTGATGGTGCTGATGATGCTGTTACTGGTGAGGGTGATGACGATGCTGATGGTGACGCTGATGACGATGATGCTGGTGATGATGATGATGATGATGCAAATGCTGATGTTGATGACGCTGGTGGTGATGGTAATGATCCTGACGATGGTGCTGATGATGCTGCTGCTGATGATGGTGATGATGCCGGTGATGATGATGCTGATGTTGCTGCTGATGATGATGCTGCTGGTGGTGCTGATGATAACGCTGAGGCTGCTGATGATTATGACTACGCTGATGATGGTGATGGTGGTGGTAATGCTGATGATGATGGTGGTGCGGGTAGTGATGCTGATGCTGATGGTGATGATACTGATGATGATGCTGATTCCGGTGATGATGACGATGCTGACGGTGATGCTGATGCTGCTGATGATGATGCGGCTGATGATGTTGCTGATGATACTGCTGATGACTATTACGCTGCTGCTGCTGATGATGATGCTGGTGATGGTGACGGTGGTGATGACGATGGCGATGATGTTGATGGCGATGGTGATGGTGATGCTGATGCTGCTGATGCACTTTGCACTTTGCACCGTGCCGTCAAGGTCTCCCCGACGCCTGGGGCCGCACGTCAACCCGCTGAAAGAAACGTTATGCAAAAGCGCCTCGCGTGAGGAACGAGAAGATTGGGGTCAGTGCAGCTGGCGTGCGGTCGGGCGCGCGCGAGCGAGCCATTCTACCTTGCTGCGCTGGCAAGTGTCCGCGGGCCAATCGGAAACGAGCAGTCGGGCGAGGTCCATCCCCCATCGCCAGGCCTTGGATATGCGGCCATGCGCCTGGGATCCGTGCTCGCGTTTTACTCTCTGGAGCCAGGCCATGCTGCGCCGCTGTAGCAGATGGACGGGCGCAAGCTGGGCAGGTGTGGCGTCTGGCAGGGCAGCCTGGCGGGCTAGGTCTCCAGCCCGAGTAAGCCTGCGAAGATTCACGTCTATGTCCCATGTCGTGTGGGATTGGAGAGCGGCAGAGACGCGGCGCCATCGGCGGCGACAACAATCCTCTGGCGTCTCCTCCTTCCATCTCTGCGTGCAAATCAGCGGAGAGAACCTTCTGCGGTGCGTGACTCGAATTAGATTCAGATCCTTGACCGCGGGCCCAACGACCCCGACCCATGGCGCAAGACAGGTTTGATGTCTCGCCCAAGCAGCTTCGCGGCCTGCTGCCAGCGGCAGGCACGTCCAGATAGAGACATCTTGAGAGCGTAGAAAGCCCCCCCAGGCGCGGGCTACCCTGAGTTGCCTTCCATCGAAGGTGAAAACAGAGCCGAGGCAAGGGCAACCCTCGGCGCGAGGCGTGCGCGTCAGGGCGCCATCCTCGACCCTCATCTGGCAGTCGCCGAAGTCGTGGTCCAGCGCCGCCGTGCCCCAGGTCAGACCCGAGGGAGGTACGTGCCAACCGCGCGCTCGCAGGATGCGCCGCCAGGCCATCGTCATCTGGCACAGCGACTCGGCCGTGCCCGCAAACAGCTAGAAGATGTCGGCGTAGAGGAGTCCCGCCTCGTACAGCGTCGCCTCGCATGGGAACTCGTAGCTCCAGCCGCGTGTCCAGCATTCGCCCAGGAACTTCTCCCAGACATCCTCCAGCACTAGATTGGAGAGGATCGTGCTGGCTGGGTCTCCCTGTCGAGTGCCGCGAGTCCGCGGTGCTGGTTGCGTCTGGATGGAGCCCATCTTGATCACCGACGAGGCCTTCAACTCCCTCATGATGGCAAGGGTCACGGACCTTGGCGCAGCCCTTCTTCTCAACGTCTCCTCGACCGAGCTGTGCGAGACGCGGTCGACGGCGGCCCCTTATATCTCCGTCCATGATGAAGCTGGGACGGTTCCACTCGCGGGCCTTCTCCGTCAGCACGCGCATGCTGAAGGTCACGTCCACCGCTCGGTGGTGCTCCCGATTGGCGTACTGTGGGATCCGCCGGGTCAGCTTGTTGGCACATGTCTTGAGCGAGCCAACCGAATATAGCTTCTCGAAGGCAGTCAGGAGCGTGATCGGTCTGTACCCCTTGGCCGTGTGCTTGTCCCCCTTCTTCTTCGTCAGCTGGATGATGTGCTTCGACCGGGTTTGGCCCCTGACATACTCGGGCGCCCCGCGGAGGCGGTTCTCGAAGACGGCCGCGAGCGAGGCGAGGAAGCCCGAGTCGAGGGCCTGCAGGACCTCGGCGACCACCCCGCCCACGCCAGGAGCCTTCATGGCCTCCATGTCGCACAGAGCCTCGCGGAGCATCTCGGGCGAGAAGGGCGGGATATCGAGGGCATCCCCCGTCGTGAAGAAGGCGAGGTAGGCAGAGACCCCGACGGGCCCCCCCCGTCGCTGGCCCTGAAGGTGCTGCCGTACTCGCGCTCCAGGAGCTCCTTGATGCTCAGCGCTTCGTCCTCGATCCCCCCCCTCCGCGTTCGTCAGCTGGTTGTGGATCGGGCCAGGCTGAGCTCGGCGAGGCGCTCGTACTCGGGGATTGCCCGCTTCGCGCAGGCAATGCCGCAGGGCCCTGTTCGCAATCCAGATCTCCCTGCGAAGCCGGGTGACATCTTTGCTGTAGATCGCGCGCTGCGCGCCGTCGCGGGTGACCCGCCGGCGTGCCTCTAACACCCGCAGCGTCTGCGCGGGCTCGTGGCCCTCGGGGATCTTGGGAACCTTCCTCGCAGGCGGGCCCCTGCCACAGGCAGCGGCAGCCAGGTGCACCGCGCGGCCCCAGCGCTGGAAGCGGTTGTCGAGGCAGGTCCAGCCCTTCATAGGCGCACGACCCCCTTCCCAGATGTAGCGCCTCCTGGTGCCGAGGGTGAATTCCAGCTTAATGGCCGAGTGGTCGGATTGCGCACTGTCGGTGATCTCCTCGAGCGTGGTGCTGACCTTCCAGATGTCGCGAGCGGGTATCAGGACGTGATCGATCTGGGCTGGCGGATGCTTGAAATCGCAGTGGCAAGTGGGTCCGCTGGCCGCCGCGGTGAACGTGTTGGTCGCCGCCAGGTCGTGCTGCATGAGAAGTCTCGTCAGGATCTCGGCGCGACGTGTGCGCTGGCCGACTGGGGACTTCCCAATCCAGCGCTCCTCGTCCGCCTGCGGCGGGGGCAAGGCCGTCTGCGCGTCCACGCCCGCGATCGGGTGCGCCCCAGGCGGTGCCATCATGATCAGGTCGGAGAGCTCCTCCATAGAGTCCTCGTACTGAGTGAGGGAGTGCCCTGGAAAAGGTGACTGCGTACTATCCAATAATCCTTCTTGCGGGTGCGAGATAAGTGCGCCGCCGAGCGCCCCCGCGACGGCAAATCTCCTCGTAGGAAAAGTCGAGCCCGAGAGCGTGCCAGCAGCCCAATCTGCTTTTGCCCTTCGACCCGCGGTGTGACCAGGTAGAGGTCGCCCTCGCCGACCTCTAGCCTCGTGGTCTTGCCCCAATAGCCGACCTCCTGGAGGATGGCCACGTCGTAGTCGTGCTGCTTGCGCAGCGTCGCTGCAAAGTACTCCGCGCTGTGCTTCGCCATGCCCTGAGCGTTCCAGCTGATGAGCTTGAATCACATCTGCTCCTCGGACTCCTCCAGAGTCCCCTCCTTGTCCAGTCATTGGCCCGCGTTGACATTGGCATGAAATTCGACCAGGCTGAGGTGCGCGCCCGTGTGGGCGCTGATGTCGGCCGCAACGTGCTCCTTGAAGCTGACGAGGCCCGTGGTCCTCATCATCTCGCCGAACCTGTGCTGCTTCCACCAGATGATGCCTCGAATGTAATCTAGCTCGAGGTCCGCCGCCTGCGCGCCTGGGTTGTCGGCCAACTCCTTCTTCGCACGTGAAATCATCATTGACAAACGAATTTCGTCCGAGGACTTCTCCACAGAGAACCAGAATTGCCAACCCAAGTGATGTGGCTGCGGCATCGTTATCTGCTTCCCTTTCCTCGAACGTGCCCAATCCCACCTTCGCCCCGAACTCGTCAAGCGGACCTTCAGGAAACAGGCACGCTTGACCGGGACGAACCATCCTCTTCTTTGTCGGGGATGGCGTCGGTGAGCGCACGAGCTTCGTTCAGAATGGTGTCGCGGGGTGTTTCCCGATCCCAGCCGCCAATCGTCACACAGATCTTGTCGCACGCCCTCTTTGGCCCCGACACGGACGGCTGTGCCGCCGCGCTCTCGACCCCAGGAAAAAAAAAAAAAAAAAAAAAAAAAAAAAAAAAAAAAAAAAAAAAAAAAAAAAAAAAAAAAAAAAAAAAAAAAAAAAAAAAAAAAAAAAAACGCAATGGATGCCCGACCGAAGAAGCCGCCGTGGATGAGGGAGCTGCCGAACGTCCCTCTCGCAAGTCCTTGGTATCCTGCTCCATGTTGTTGAGGCGCCCCTCGTGCCTCTCGATGTCCCTGCGCACGTTGTCGATGGACGTTTTCACGTCCGCGAAATCTTTCGCCATCGGTTCCTTGATCTCGGAGCGCAGCATCTCTCTGAAGTGCATCATCGTGGGTCCGTCCATGGCTGCTGGCACTGGCACTGGCTCGCGCGAGCGGCTGCGCGAGCCCATCGACTGCTAGCACGATGCGGCAGAGTCGTGAAACAGATGGCAGCTGCGAGCCCCAGCCCATGCCGCCGCTTGAGCCAAAATGGTTGCTGCTGATGCTGATGTTGATGTTGATGTTGATGTTGATGATGATGATGATGATGATGATGATGATGATGATGATGATGATGATGATGATGATGATGATGATGAGGATGATGCTGCTGCTGCTGATGATGATTATGATGAGCAGGAGGATGAGGAGGATGAGGAGGAGAAGGAGGAGGAGGAGGAGAAGGAGAGAGAGGAGGAGGAAAAGGAATGATGGAGGGAAGAAGGGATGAGGAGGAGGAGGAATGAGGCCCAAAACCGTCCGAAAACCTGGATCTTGGATCCTAGACCCTCCAGGGGGGCGCGCCCCCTCGGAGGGCGGCGCCGCCGCCTGGCGCGGAGCAGCGCTTCGTGGTCGCGGCGCAGCTCCCACTCGTGCCTCCAGAGGGGCGTCGCCGTCACCATCGTGAGAGGAGCCGGCCCAGATTTCCGAGGAGGAGGAGGAGGAGGAGGAGGCGGCCATCTTCGGAGGGGGCCCAGACTTCCGACGACATGACTTTGTCAACCTCGGCATGCTTCCCCGACTTCGGCTGCTGGGGCGCGCCATCGGGCCCCAGGACCATCAAGAATGAACCTGAAACGGGAATCTGGTCTGGGGACGGGGTCGGGACCATTTTTGGCCGCGCGCTGAAAAGAACACATCGTCGGATGCCTGGGGGGAGGAGGGGGGGGAGGGGGAGGGGGAGGAAGGGGAGGAGGAGGAGGACCACGAGGCTAGCGGTGGGTGGCAGGAGAGGAGAAGGGCGGTTTGGGGAGGGGGAGGACGAGGGAGAGGGGGAGGAAGGAGGAGGGAGAGGAGGAGGAGGGGGAGGGGGACGGGGGAGGAGGGCAAGCTAGGTGCGATCGCGTCATATCTGACGTCCTACCCCTCCCTCCCGTCCCTTACCATAGCGTAGATCTCCTCTCTATTCGCACAATCGAATGCCAAGCATGACAATGATCCGGAGAGGGTGCGCGATGCATCGTAGAGCACGGCTTAGCAAGGCGTAGAAGAGCACGGCAGAGCGTAGTATGTCATAGCATGGCGTGGCGTTGCGTAGTGAAGAATTGCATCACCAAGAATTGCAGCGCAAAGAATGGCATCGCACAGCGGCACATAACAGAACATGGCATAGCATGGCGTTGAAGATCAAAGCGTAGCATGGCATAGCATGGCGTGGCACTGCGTAGCCAAGCACTGGATATCCTAGCATTGAGGCCAGCGCTGCAGCGGGAGCACGATTCGGAACGAGCGGAAGCGCGGAAACGAGGCCACCGCTGCAGCGGGAGCACGATCCGGAACGAGCGGAAGCCCGAAAATGAGGCCAGCGCTTCAGAAGGAGCAGCATTTTGAACAAAAAACACGCGAAAACCCAACTCTCGGGAATTTGGAGAGAAACACTACGCGGAGGGTGGCCGAGCATCTTCTGGACGTCATCAGGGGAGAGAGGATAATAGTTTTCATATAGTGTAAGTATGAAAAAAGGAGGAGGACCACGAGGCTAGCTGCGGCGGGCGGGAGGACAAGGAGGGAGAGGCGGGCGGAAGGAGAAGAAGGACCAGGAGGCTAGCGACGGCGCTGTAACTGACTGAAGCTGGCCCGTGGACTCCGTCCACGGCAGGCGGCCCGATTTGATCGTATTGTTTCGGCGGCCGCGAGAGTTCACTCGCACGTAACGGGGAAGAACATTCGGAACTCCGCGCGGATTTCCGCGCGGGGCACCGAAGAGTTCCTCACGGGCCCGAAGCTACCATCCTCGGGGAGAACACCTCGTTTGAGTGACTTCCTTCGGGGAGAGCACTATCCATCGGGGAGGCAATGTCGTTTGCGCGACCTCATGTCTGCACTCATGCCAGCGGAAGAGGAGGAGGAAGATGAGGAGGAGGAGGAGGAAGATGATGATGATGAGGAGGAGGAGGAAGCGGAAAAGGAGGAGGAGGAGGAGGAGGAGGAGGAGGAGGAGGAGGAGGGGAGGAGGAGGAGGAGGAGGAGCATGCCAGCGAAACTGCTGGCCTGGCGGCCGCAGCTCGTGGCCCGATCGCCTGATTTTTCTTGGCTGCTTGCTCTGTCGCCCGCTCGCCCACTCACTGCCATTTTTGCTACCTACTGCTTGCTGCTTGAGACCGCTGTGAGGGAGAGAGGAGGAGGAGGAGGAGGAGGAGGAGGAGGAGGAGGAGGAGGAGGAGGAGGAGGAGGAGGAGGAGGAGGAGGAGGAGGAGGAGGAGGAGGAGGAGGAGGAGGAGGGGGAAAACAACCCTACCTCGCTTTTGACCACCCTCGCTTCCAAGAGATACCAAACGATGCCAGACTACGGCCTGTGCTGGTCAGGCCGCTTGACGAGGAGGCGCGTGGTATGACCTGGTTTTGCCTGGAAGCGAAAGCGGGGTAGGTAATTCACGCTCTGAATAAGGGCCGCCTTCGAGGCGCGTCGGCCCACTCCGAGGCCATGAGAGGCCCTGCAGGTGCGGAAGGTGCCGGGGCCCGGGTGAAACGAGCGATGAGGAGTGCGGGAATATGGGCACTGAGTTACTTTGGAGAGAAAAGCGATGAGCAATGGGCGAGGGAGCGAGGAGATAGGGCTGAATAACGACGTGCACCAGAATCTCCGCGCTCGTGGCCGAACACTTGGTGTACTCTCAGGTCGCCTGCTCGCCCTTCTCGCACGCGCTGATTCCAACGCTCTGGCTGACTAAGGCTGACCCGTTGACTCCCGTCACTCGCAAGCACTGGTGAGGATTCTTTCTTTTCGTCGCTCTCTCTCTCTCTCTCTCTTTCTTTTATGGTTTCTTTCTTTCTTTCTCGCTCTCTCTCTCTCTCTTTCATTCTCTCCTTGTACTACACACTCTCTCCCTCTCCATCTCCCTCTCTTTCTCTCTGCAGATGTGTGTGTATCTATGTGTATAGATAGTTATCATACGTATGCATATGTCTACATGTCCATGTACGTCTGCGTACACATGTGTAGGTCTATGTATACGTGGGGTGATCTGGATGCTTTCTGGGCGCTCCGCGTCCCGCCTGGGGCCGCCTCGCTGGCCTTCTCGGGCCGTCCAGGGGGGGCCTCTCGGCGGGCTCTGGCCCGGACGTCCCCGTCCCACGGTGCCCTCGTCTCGCGCGCACAGCCTCCCAGTGCTGCCGCCGCTGCTGCTACGGCTCGCGTCGTGCGGGGTGATGTTGCCGTTCGTTGCTGCAGCGTCGCGCTGCAGGCTGCGGTTTCTCGCCGCTCCTGCCCTCAGGTCGGGCGTGTCCCCCTACAGGCGGATTTTGGACGAAGGATAAAACATACTCCAAACATGCAACAACATGCCCAAACATACTCAACAAGTCGTCCCCAGGCTATTCTGTTACTGTTTTGGAATAGTCCCCCCTGTAGAGGGACAGGCCGACTGAATCCTGCCCGCTGGCGCGACCTGCTGCTCGCGAGAAGATCGGAGAGCGAGGAACCAGCAGCGAGGAGGTCTGATCGAAGAGGGATGGGGGAGAGAAGCGAGGCACGATCGGCGAGGAGCGAGGAGCCTGGGGCTTCTCGGGGGCCTCTTGGGTCCTGGCCTGGGCCTCTTCGGGGCCTCTTGGGGCTCCTGGGTGGCCTCTTGGGGCCTGCTGGCGGTCTGGGGGGCCTCGTGGCTGCCTGCTGGCGGTCTCGAGGATCATCTAGACACGGAGGGCGCAGAATGTCAGGTCGAGTTGCCCTTCTTGGGGCTCTCCTGGGCGCTCTTGGGGACGATCGTGGACAGTCGACATGGGGGCCTTCTTGGAAGCCTGCGGGGCCGTATTATCACCATCTTGGGGGCCTCCTGGGCCGTCGAGGGGCATGGGAACCCCCCAAAAACGCGAAAACAGCAACCTGAATAAACAACCTGCTGGAAATTGCTGATTTTGGTCTCTCGGCGCCCTCTTGGGGCGCCTCTTGGAGCCCTCCTGGTCCGTGTTGGGGCCCTGGTGGGCCGTCTGGAGGCCCTGGTGGGCCGTCAGGAAGCACTTCGGGCCATCTTGGGCCGTTTCGGAACCCGCTGGGGCCACCAGGGGCGGCCTGGGGGGCCGCTTGGGCGGTCTTGGGGCCCTCTGGACCGTCTGGGGGCCCTCTTGGAAATCTGCGGGGCCTTGTTTGGACAATCTTGGGCGCCTCTTGGGCCGTCATGGGGCATCGGAAGCCCGAAAAGGCGAGAACGTCAAAATCAACAAACGGCCTCAGAACACTCGAATATTGTTTGCCTCCCGGCACCCTCTCGGAGCGCCTTTTGGAGCTCTGTTGAAGCCGTCTCGGGGCTGTCTTCGGCCGTCTCGGGGCCATCATGGGGCCCCCTCGGGCCGCCTTGGGCCCGCGGGGCTCGCCGGGGGCAGGCCAGGGCGCGCCATGGTGCCCGCCTGGGCGGGCCAGGACGAATTTGGTGCTTTTGGGCCCGCGTGTGCACCGGTGGGAGGAAACACGAGTGTGCACACGTGGAAAGACCGCGGCGATCATGTCGAAGTGTGGGGCCCGAGCGCGCAGATGTCGTGAGGTTCCCTGTCGCATCTGACCGGTCGTGGCCTGCTGGTGTGCGCAGGGAGGAGGGGAGGAGAGGGTGAGGGAAAGGAAGGCCAGCCAGAGGAGGAGAGCGGCACCTGAAAAAGGGGTGCGGAGGCACTCATGGGGAGGATCATGAAGAGGAGGGGAGGAGGAGGAGGAGGAGGAGGAGGAGGAGGAGGAGGAGGAGGAGGAGGAGAAGGAGGAGGAGGAGGAGACGGAGGAGAAGAAGAGATGAGAACAGGGAGAGGGGCTTTCTTGGGCCTTGTTTGGGGATCGGGATTTCCGCGGGCTCCAGAAACCCCGAAAGATGCTGGGGCTGGAGGTTCTCTTGGGAGCTGCTTGGTAGCTTTCGGGGTCTCATGGGGGGCTCTGGGGCTTCTGGGAGCGGTCTTGGGCCATCTTTGGGGTCTGGGGTTTTCTTCGGGGCCTCTACGGATCCAAGCACGTCGAACGGTGCTGTGGCTGGAAGCTCTCTCGGGAGCTCCTTGGCAACTGTCGAGGTCTGTTGGGAGGCTCTGGGGCATCTCGGAATCGCCCTTCTTGGACAGCTCTTGGCGCCTTCTGGGACCATTTCGAGGCCCTCTTGGACAGTCTCGGGGCTTCTTGGGCGTCTTGGGGCCCTGTTGGGGACCTGGGGCCGCCTTGGAGCCCGGTTTGGGCCCTCGTGGGCAGCTACAGGGGCCCTCTCGGGGCTGTCCTGGGGGGCCACTTGAAGCTCCGTTCCGGCGTCTGGGGCCTGTCTTGGGCCGTCTTCGGGCCCTCTTGGGCCGTCTTGGTGCCTTCTTCGGGGCCTCGTCGGATGTCTTGTGGCGATCTTGGAACGACCTGGAGCCGTGTGGGACCGTTCTGGGCCCGTCTTGGGGAGAATGTGAAAACCATTGAAACACTTATT